TAGTTTATTAAATATTTTGAATCAGGTTATTTAATTTAATTAGTCGCTAGTACTATATAATAGGCTTATTGAAAAATCTTTAGATATTGTAAATCAGATATATTCAATCAAGTGCTTTTAAAATTAGGGCCTATGATGATACTAATTCTTGATGAATTAAGTTTACTGAGGCCGTTAAAGTATTCTATACTATTATGAATCAAATTCATATTAGTTCAGATCATTAGTATTATGAACTTTGCTTCTTTGACAATTTTGATTATGTATTTTTCAAAAACTTATTTTTTAAATTATTCATTCAGTTCATTAGAGATTTTTAATCAGGTTATTTAATTTAATCAGTCGCTAGTACTATATAATAAACTTATTGAGAAATCTTTAGATATTGTAAATCAGATATATTTAATAAAGTACTTTTGAAATTAGAGCCTATAATGATACTAATTCTTGTATAAATTGAGTTTACTGAGGTTGTTGAAGTATCCTATAAGCTAGGCTACTGTTATGAATTGAATTCATATTAATTTAGGTCATTGGTATTATAAACTTTGCTTCTTTGACAATTTTTATTATGTATTTCTCAAAAACTTACTTTTACTAAATTATTCATTCAGTTCATTAGATATTTTGAATCAGGTTATTTAATTTAATCAGTTGCTAGTACTATATAATATGCTTATTGAAAAGTCTTTATGTATTGTGAATTGAATATATTTAATTAAGTACTTTCAAAATTAGGATCTATAATAATACTAATTTTTGTGTAATTTGAGTTTACTAAAACTGTTGAAGTATTCTATAAGCTAGGCTACTATTATGAATCGAATTCATATTAATTCAGGTTATCAGAATTATGGGTTATAAATCAAATTTAATTATTTTGCTATTTAGATTTTTTAAAGTTTTTAAATATTAATTACTAAATTATAAATACTATATTTTACGCATAATAATGTGTATTAGTATATAAATTTAGACTCTATGCATTATTTCAGAATATATATATATACAATATTTAACAAGTATATTATTTTAGAATATATATGGGTATTATTTAGAGCTAAAAGATAAAAGTTTTAAATAAGAGGTGTGGTAGCTTAGTGAAGTGGTCTAGTTATTACCCCACCAAGTGGCAGTTCCAAAGTTTGAATCCTATAAACAACATTTTCAAAAAATAAGCCTGTGATACAGTGACCGTTGTGGTTAATTAGTTGGGTCTCAGAACTTGTAATCTTGGTAATACTATGTTTACATAGGAGCTTCAGCACATAAAAGGCCAAGAAACTGCAATAATTGGAACCTGTTTGAGAAGTCCTGAGTAAGAAGGTAACAGAAACTTTTAACAGTACTACAAGAAGACTGAAATTAGAACTGGAGACTGAGACCAGAGAACAAAGCAACCAGGTTCTTAAGTAGGAGACACACTAGCTGAACTGCTAGGTCACCAAAATCAGAGAAAAAGAATATATGCTTTAGAAGCATGTAACAAGAGGAGGATATCTATAGAGCGCTTAATGCTTGAGGAGACCAACCCTTTCAGGTTGCTAGCTGAAAGTAAAGAAGAGACTGGTTAAGAATCTGAAGAAAAGGGAAGTTTGAATAGAGATACCAGAGTTGGAGCGAACTTTATAAGGGTGTAGCAGTTAAATAAGGGTAACTCTAACTGCAAGTGCGAGCCTCAGCAACTACCAGGTTAGCCAAAAATGTAATATGGAAGGCTCCAGTAGGTTTATCTCGAGAATAGACCAAGTTGGTATATTCTAAGGCACAAATGAAATTTGGGTAACTAAGTTAGAAGATCCCACCTAGTAGAATTAGTTATGATTAGAGGGTTTAAATAGGTAACTTTCTAGTTGGGTTGCAGGTATAGCAGCTAGTGTAGACCTAAGGTGGACTACTTAAATAGGCAACCAAAAGTTGCACATGTGGCTAGTTATATCCTTATTTGTAAGAACCAGAAAATTTAAATAGATAATCTCCTAGTTAGATTGCAGGTATGGCAGCTAGTATAGAACCCAAAAATAGGCAGACTACTTAAATAGATAACTTAAAATTGTACGTTTGCTAGTTGTACCATCATTGTAACTGAAACTTAACTTCTAATAAATAGTTATGGCCAAAGAAATCACCTTTAACACTGAAAAAAAAAGTTTCAAATAATATATGTATGTACACATACTGTAAAATGAATATTATATTATAAATTAGTTATAAATATATAATTTGTATAATTAGAATTTGTAATTTAATAAACTATTATATATATATAATGATTATATAGTTTAATAAAATTTATATATATATAGTTACTATAAATTTATTTTTAAATAAAATTTGATTTTTAAATCTAAATTTTTTTGATAAATTTTTTGCTTTCAATATGTCTCAAGAATCTACTTCAACCCAATCTTTTTTAAAATCTTTATACCAACAATCCACTTTTCAACAATCTACTTCTCAACAATCTACTTCTCAACAATCTACTTCTCAACAATCTACTTCTCAACAATCCACTCCTCAACAATTTACTTTTCAACAATCTACTCCTTAACAATTTATTTTTTAACAATCTATTCCTCAATCTACTTCTCAACAATCTATGCAATCTTCTTCTCATTAATTTTTTTTTTAACAATCTTTACAATCTTCTATTTCACCTTCTATTCCACAAACTTTTTCACAACTTACTCATCAATATTCCCAACAATCTATTGTTAATATGTTTGAAGATTTTACATTTGATAATACTATTATTGAAGAATTTAATAATTTAGCAAATTTACCTATTGTTTATAAATTTTATATTTTTGATAAAAATACTAATAAACCCACATACATACTCACTACTTGGGACTCTAAAAGGTCTTATCTCCTCACACCTAGTACAAACACTAGCAATATTAGAGATACAACCTAGAGAGGCAAGGGACAT